ATGAATATAAATAAAAGATATTATTCACTAACAGCTTACAAGTTTTTATAGCTAAGCTATATAGTTCGGTTCTCATCATATCATTACTATCTGTATGGCTATTAGGAACCAGTTTCCAAGCTGTTACCACTATGAAAGAGTGTTTTCCCACATAATCCGCTTCTGCGCACTCCAACTGAATCAGCTGTTAACTCAAACATGCTGTTCCCATTATAATCCGTACAAAAACAAGTAAGGGATACAAGACCTCACATGCACCCCGAGAACTGTTCTACACTCAGCTGTTTTTGACACGCTCTTCCTAAGAACAGATTCTCTTTGCCCTGACCATAGATAACCGAGAAAGTCTTGCCACCAAACACGGCGAATTCTGAGGGCCTTTCTCTCTTAGCCGAACGAAAACCTGCGGCCTAGTGTTATATTCTCCGTCCGGAAACGAGAGCCGGAGACCACGAAGTGTGTACGAATGGAGGCGAGGACTCTGTTCGGGTGACGAAACAAGCCGATTCCGATTTCTGGGTGCGTGTACACAGCCTCCGTGCATATCTGATGGCCAGCGAGCAAATCAGTCAGATGCGTGGCGAACGTTGAATTTAACGGTCGGTTTGGCAGTGAAAGTGGAAAGTGGAAGCCATCGCCTTGCTCCACAAGCGAATTGTTTGGTGCGAAAAATATAAAACAGAAGGGCAAACAAAAATTCCAAAAAATAGCTACATATACCAAAAGGAATATATAAAAGTGAATTAACAAAAAGATAGTTAAAAAATAGTGTTTAAACATTGAGGGGAAAGAAAGTGTTCAAACAGTCGATTGGAAAAGTGTTCCGAAAGTTAAACTTTAAACATAAAATCAAGTGCCCCTTGGAGTTGGAGTCTTCAAATTTGCTGGTAAATTATTCAAGCAAGTTTATATTTTCCTTCGGGGTGGGAGATGGAGACTAGAATCCTTAGAGCCAGAAGTCTATGCCGCCATAAAGTTATACAAATTATTGCCTTTCTGACTGCCATTTCGGTTGGCTTTAAACTTTCGGTTCACGCAGCGTTCGCATTAAATTTCCTATTTTGTTGTTTTCCTGCCTTTTATTTCCTTTCCGCTATTCGCGTGGCACATGCGGCGTATACGCAATGTATTTGCTCCCATCTGTACTTGTGTGTGTGTGTGCGTCTGTATCTCTGTGTATAACCTACATTTTTGTGGTCCTTGTTGTTTTTCCGTTGACAGACTGACAGTCAGACAGTACCCGAAAAGAAAAAAAAATGGATCTTGAGATGGGACCCTGTAACTGTGACTTTACCAACTTCGAGTTAATTTTATGGCTTTACGGTCTTTGTTTGCTTCGCTTAAATACCGACTGATCCACAAGTTGGCGGTCTCTATATTAATTTTTGTATTATGACCAAATAGTTTGGGCCCGAAGTTCGGTCTCTATTTTGGTGTATGTATATCCCGACGTTTGTCTTCATCAAGTCGGTCTAACTTTTACCAAGTGATTGTTGATTTTGTTTGATTTGGTGTTTTTGTTTTGGTTGTAGCTGTTGGCTTTATTTGATTTTAGTACTTTGGCAAAGTCAACATTCGTTAGCAAAAATTTCGCTCACGTTCCATTCGACCGAGTTCTCGATTTCATGAGTTTTGGATGCTGCTGGTCCGTGTTTGCTCCTCTGTTCCGCCGCTTAGCCATCACTTCTCCCTAAACAAGTATATATATATATATATATATATTCCTATTCCAATTCCTGTTTTTGTCTCCAACTGTCTGGCTTACCCTCCCTATTTGTTTTTACCGCCTCATGCACTGTGCATACTGCGCAGAGTACACAAATAAATAGATATATATAAATCGGGTGGATATATGCGCCCGATTCCGCTGTAGTTGCTGTGGTGAGTGGAGCTAAGCTGGGGCTGTCCTTAAGATTATTTATGCGGTGATTAGCCGCGCTGAATTATTGCTGAAATTATCAAGTGTGCTATAAAATTTCACTGCCATTTATTTGCACAACTTTTGGCGGGGCTCACGTACTACAAAACCAAACACCCGCATATACCAGACTCATCTCCATTTACTACTCCACTTCACTTCACTTCACTCCGCTTAAAGCGTTGCCGTCTCATGTGTATCGTTGGCTCGTTTTCAGCATCGGTTTTAGGGTTTTGGACTACTCCTGGTTGAGACTCGGGTGTTCGGGTGCGTGCGAGTGAGTGAGTGTAACAAATTGCCAGAGTTTGATTTTTAAGTGTGAAATATCGCACAACCGAATTGGATTAATTACACTGGGGCCCGCTTAGATTGCGTTGGCTTTATAAGCTAACGCACTTGCCATTGGGGCTTTTAAGGTTTTTTAGGATCGTTCTTGGAGAAAAAGGCTTACCAAGCTGGTAACATTGGATATTATATAGGGAAAATATATGTCATCTTTTTACCAACCTAAGAATAGTCTCCAAACTTCACAGTAACCCGCCTTTTTTTAAACGGGTTTGCCAGAAAACCATTACCTCATATTGTTAGCTAACTGCTTTATGCGCTTTTGGAAGATATCTTGATTTGATATTTATAGGTTACAAACCAGGCAGCTAGTAAGGTGTATTGGAAGGTACAAAAATATTTATAAATATTTTCAAGAATTAATAGCTTAATTCTTGTTCAGCATCCAGCTGTTGGCCAGAGCTGATTATTAACTTATCTATAATATTTATGAAGCTGCCACAGTTTCCTTGGGGCGATCAAGATGAGAGTCTGACAACTAAACATAAATAGCTTGTAGAACCAAATAAGGATTATCCTGCTGAGGGTCGAGGGAAATGAGATTTTCCAGCAGGCAGCAGGCAGGAACGCCCACTTTCAACAGCGCCCAGTTAGCCGGCAACTAATTGGCTAAGCCCCAACCTGAATTCAAATTAGATACTGAAGCTGGCTCTGCGGCCAGTCCAAAGTCTCAGCTGTGCGGAGATTAATTACATTTAAATAAACACGAATGCCTGCAAACATGGCCAAGACCGCAACAGTTACATGAACAATTCAACCGAATAGACAACAATAGACAGCCGACAACTCACTCAACTCGTCTCGTTTCAATTGGATTCAATTTCATTTTGCTACTTTAAGCTGATTACAGCCAGAGTTTTGGGCCAAGTTATACATTTTGCACAAACTAAATGATTAGCTTTGGTTGCAATACCAGCAAATTCTACTTACCAGCAAAATGTTGTACATTTGATGAGGGTCTCTCGGACGTCAAGGGAAATACACAATGCTGTTCATTAAACTAGCAGTAGTTGCACATCACTTTCAAACTGCTTTAAGGAGATTTTGTTTTTAAATCTTCAGAGGAGTGCTTATGTTTTTCGGATTTAATCTTTAATTTAATTTTCGGACATTTTTTAACATTATTACATTAGTATTATTTTGTTGAACGCAGCTGTATATGGTTATATCTTTTGGTAAATGAAAGTCAAAGCCGAGTTTAATGCCGGGTTTAGTGATAGGAAAAGCGAGCCTCTTGCATATGGCAAATGCCCAATGATTTATGATGGGGAATGGGCCAACGCAGTCAGCAGACTTTTGTCCCGTTCACAATTGGTGGTGAAAAGCGTGAAAAACTGTCGGCCACATGGAAAATCTCGGCGTGAGCGTGTGGGGTAATGTGGGAATGCGGCAGAGTAAATTCAATTTTACGTTTCACAACTCAGCATGATTTCTATCAAGGAAAGGGGAATCTCCTTTTCCACATTGTGTACCGCAAACTGATTGCTTTCGGTGGTCCCTCGTCTGTCTGTGTGTAGAGCCAGAGATCCTGGGCGGGTGTAGTCTGTGTGTGTTAGCCCCAAAAGCAGGCTACATAAAAAAATCACTAAAAACTTGTAAAAGCATCAAAGCGCACTTTCTGAGCTCTCTGCTCGAAAAGTTAGACTTGCTCGGCCCATTGTTGTTGTATCCTTAGTGTTTCCTTTTACTGGTCATATTGTTGTTGTTGTGGCTGCTGTTGTTGTTGCTACTGCCGCCGCCGGTGGAAAGTTCACAACTTTTCAAGTGAGTTCTGAGGGCGGTTTTTCGGTGGTCTAGCTATTGGCGAAATTGCTTTCTGATAGCTTGCCTGGTGTATTTATGCAGTTTTAATGAGAGCTGCTTCTTAAGCGGTTGTTGTTAATACAGGAAATTAATAAGTTAAGTAGCCATTAGGTGGCTGAGTGCAAAGTTCAATCGTTGAACTTTGGAGTCTGAAAATGTTTTACTCTGGCACTGGGAAAAATCATATCTATGTCTATATTAAATCTTAAACTCAAGTTTAAAGGGTATTTTGTTGTTATAGATTGTGATATTTATCTTTAACAATCTTTTGAACTTATTTTGAAATTGAAAAAGGGAAAAAGATTTAAACCACTAAACCACATAGCAATTTGTATTTTGAACCTATATTTTCTCAGTGCTGTCTGAGAAGTAACACAAGCCTCTCTTGTCTGTGCTTTTTTAGAATCTTTTTCGATTTCTTATACATTTTTTTTGACTTGCTGCTTAAGCCGCGTTTTATTTTCACTTGAGGCAAGTGCAGTCATCTGTGAAAATATTGGCAAAACTCAAACAGCGCCAGCATTTGACATAAATCCTTATTATCCCTTTGTGCACAAATTGACATTGCACTTGTAAGGCGATTGCCGAGACTCTGCTTGACATCCCCTCTCTTATGGCCCCCTTTGCCGCAGACTCTGGATTTCTACCAACTTTTATCTGTGGCTTTGTTTTCACTGCCAATGCAGTGGGAGTGGCATTAGCAGCATCCGACAAATGCAAGAAGCCCTGGCAGTCCTGAAAGCCAGCTTCGTCCTCTACACGTCCTCGCACTTAATTGAGGCTGACACACCGCTGCAGAGAACGAAAGTTAGGGGACTTCGTAAAATATAACCCTAATATCCTTTTTAATCAAGATTGAGCTATATTTTCAGATCATTTTCGAATATTTTTTTTATCGTTTTCCTATCTTTCTCCAAGGCAGTTTTCTATATAAAATGTTACTTAAGTGGTTTTATGTAGTAAATCATAAAATAACCTTAGTTTTTTTTAGAAGAAACTTCTTATTTTGTTTTTCTTCAAATTTTAATCCTATGTGGTTCAGTGTAGCCTCTCTCGCATAAAGTGCACGAAATTAAAATTCATAATGTTGACTTTAATGGGGCTAATGCTGAAATATCAAAGCTGCTGGATTAGGTGGCAGCCAGCACATCTCATAGATTAGCCCGGCTGCCATGTAAGCGGAGCCAAGAAAATCCTGGCCAAAAGGCGTCTTCTTCCTGTCAGCCATCCTGGCATTTTATTATGCGACACGCAGCCCAACCACCTTGGCCCCAAAAAGGCAATGGAGCAGAGGCACCCGGCACAACTTTGACGTTATTAAATTATGCGGAGATTTGCGCAGTTTTTTTTTTTTTGTTGCTTTTTTGCTTTTTGGATTTTTTGAAAGCCTCTTGACGTTCTTAATGATGAGCCAGCTAACATGGCCGCCGACTAGGCCGAAATTAAATTATTTTATTGCCGGAAATTCATTAAATCATGCCTTTATGCAATTTCCAGACTACATTGCTGGCATACCCAAGTGGGGAATCTGTCAATTTATCGGCCTTTTTTTCGACCTGATAGACAGCCTGTCGGAATTTTTGGTCGTTGGGGTGGGGCCACGCCGCTTTCCGCTACCCGGAAACTCCTATTGATTAGTACGTGCCGTTGTTAACATTTCTATTATGCTTGTTATAACGTTTATTTTATCGTTTACCCGGTCGCGGAAAATCGATTGAGTTGTGATCTATTTCCAGACACATGCTCAAAAGCCCCAAATCCCTAGCAACGCGACGAGACAATGCAAATCTGACACCGCCAGGCAGAGTGGAATTATATTTA